TCGGTGCTGTCGCTGGACACTTGACTGTTCTGAACATCTCGAGCAACAGCATCTTATCGTTCAAGAGTCTTTTGCCGCGCCTACTTGACATCGTCTTCGATCATATTGGTAACCTACCGCGCTCAGCACTCTCAGCTGAGGGATTCGTCACGATCCTTCCCGGTGCTTTCTCGGCATTTCGTGCCGATGCAGTTCAATCTCATATCGACAGGCTATGCACAAGCACATTCCTTGGCTCACCTCTAAAGCACGGCGAAGATATGGAGCTTGCATACCGCATTCTCTGCGACGGTTGGAGGACGGTTTACCAAAGCAATGCTGTCGTTCATACCATGGCCCCTGAAACTCTCGAGAAGGCATTGCTCATGTTTTCTCGATGGGAACGCACCAACTATACATTTCTCTGCATGGGATATCCAGCCCTGACGGTGCAGAAGACATTGAGACTATGGCTTGCAATGCGGCCGAGACGCGCCCAGCCCATGGAATTCGTGGATAAGGAAAAACAGGAAGACGAACCATTTATCAGCAAAGACAGCACGGGAAGCATATATCCATTCATCAATGTGGCGTGCATCTGGCTGAAGGGGCCCTTGATGCTCCTGGTCACCTACACGTTGCTGCGATGTGTGATCCTATACCCTAGACACGCGCTTTGGATATTAGTGGAGATCTCAATCCTGACGGTTTGGAGAAGCTTCATGCTTATTCCAGATGCCCTTCGAGAAAAAGATACTGAGTTTGTTTCTGATGTCGGAGAGCTACAAATTTATCACACAAGTGGTAGGCTGGTATGGCGCTTGATGCTCTCCTGGCTTGCAGGGATGTTTCAGTTGGGGGTTTTGAGTTGGACCTCGATATTTGGAGTTCTGACTTTGAAGAGCCAAAAGTGGTGGACAAGATGAATCTCATTTATTTAGTTTATAGATATCACAGCATATAGATCTTTCAAAATTCGTTTAGGAGCTATACAGAGTTTATAAATAGATCATTATACTTTTCACTAATTCTGGGATGGCTGGGAGTACCTGGCTAAATCTCCATGACTCTAAAGTTTGTATAATTGCCGGGCCCCCATTACCGAGCCAACTGAGTCAGGCAGGCTTCCGGCACGCGGGTACAGATAATGATTGGCTCAAACAAACGAACCGAGACAGCCCTGCCCTTCTCAGGTCCAAGTGCTATCTACAAGAACAAAACTGTTTATACCTGTTTCATGAATCGTGCTATTCGAAGCCGTATTTTACTTATGTGATTCATCTTACGCAATACTAAAAACGGCATCTCGTGAGGAAAGTGCCCTTGTTCTCTTTTGTAAATATTGTCAAATCCTCAGGCAACAAACAAGCAACTCTGCAGCCTGATGTTTGTTGACAACCAGCAAGAAGGGTCCCGTGAGGCATCCTGCCTATGCCACAGCAGCATTTCCTTTCCCACAACCCATCACACTCGGCCTGCGAAGAGTAGTCTCGGTTCTGTCATGAATATGGATACACAATTGACAACGTTGTTGGTTGCAATCCGGGCATGTCCTCAATGTTCAAACGATGCCCGAATAATCGAAAATGCGCTCCTGGCTCTGAAAGACATCTTACTGCTCCTCGGAGCTGAGCAACGAGTCTATGCGCCATCGACAAGGACACAAACACCTGAAAACAGCTTCCTACCATCTGACCAATCAGATAGTAGCCCAAAGTCACCAAAAGCAAACACGAAGGAGAAATTCACATTCGGAAGTCTTATAATCGATGATACTGAGAGTAAAGTCATCGCCAGGAGGCTTATCAGAGACGCAGCTATAAGAATTGGACAGAATCTTCGGTGGATTGGTATGAAGCGAAAGTCAGGCACAGCAGGCTCTTTCAATCCCCTTCCGCGATTCAATGAGGAAATAGAACTAGCTATGGACCGTGTCAAGATCTTGGTAGCAAGAACATCTTCACATTTCCCATAATTCTCGAGATAGATAGTACACTGCTGGACGGATTTGACACCAAGGGGAGACAGATACATATTCAGGGCAACCAATATATAGATTTATTATATCTAGTGCTTTTATCGGGCGCGTATCTATGTTATAGACAAGAAAAGGCAGTCCGTTATCTACAAAAGCCATCTACTAAACGTCCATGTTTTCATCCCCTCCTATATACTGCAAAACTGCTCGCTTTCCAAAAGGTCTATCAGTCCTGAGATGGCTTCCAACCGACTCTCAGCTGCTTCAAGCATAAGTTGGGTCATTTTGTATAGTGGACCCGGATCCCCCTCCTTTACTGTAGTATTTGTGTTGTTGATGTTCTCTATCACATGAATCGCTCTCGTGATCCTGTATTTGACGAGTTCATATGTCCCAATCAGCCCGTTTTGCCCTGTCAAAACTGAGTTACCAATCCTGAGACGGCAACTCTGGAGAGCGGCAGGATTCTCCAGAGCGTCTGCAATCTGAGACGATATCCAGTCATACAGTAAAACCAGCATGCTAAATAATTCCATGCTTCGAGGCTTACAGGCCGGACACCCTGAAATTCGCTTTTGCACCTGCTCGGCGGCCGAAGAGACTTGTAGTACGGCATCCAGACGTGGAGAGGATGAGGTTGCCGACCCAGCGATATACATAAGCAGTTGGGCTTTGCTAAGTAGCTGTGGCCAAGAGCTTGCACATGGGTGGTCGTCGAGGTGATATGTTGCGATTGGACGTTTGGCGATATCTGTAATAATAGCCATAATGGCATTGATTTCCATATTGACCTCTGAAAGATGGCCATTGGAATCTTCTATGTCCCGGCTTGTATGTTTGTAAAATCCAGATAGGCTTAACGGGGTATGGCTGGGGGGCCCCCCGTTAGTAAGGCCATATCCTGGACAGGTATCATCTAGACCATCACTGAATAGAGCGCTGTCTTGACCCCGTTCTTGCTTTAAACCTCTAGGAGATGCCAAGCCAAAACTCTCATTGTTATTCAACATTATGTCCTGTAGCATCAAGTCATCAAAGTCACAGACGCTCGGGGGCCGTGTGACGTCTGAGCTGGGACACGGTGTTGAAGTCCAAGGATCCTGCATCAAATATGCGATGTCCTGAGTGTCTGGCGAATAAAGAAGAATATCTGGATTCGGGCAGACTGGTAACTCGGGTTCCGGGCACGGCTGGTCATTGACTGGTTGGCCGATAAAAGTGATGAGATTGGTTTGCGGTTCCCGATTAATACAGGATGTGATTGATGCTTGGCTTAGCTTGGGCTTGAGGCGAGGACGACCAGCTCGCCGAGCTTTGCTGTATACGCAGTCCAGGCCTCGTATCTGACATCGCTGGCAACAAGGCATCTCGCCACTACACTTGAGCTTGCTTTTGGTGCAGCTATCACAACAGCCCCGGAGCTTTGGTGGAACCATGGTCGGCGAGTATTGCTTTCTCAGTAAGGATGGGTCAGAGTGCATGTTAATCTGAAAGAACGAGGTTTATCTGATGAATAGACGATAGTTTGACTGCTAATGAGACGACATGTTTTTGTGGTCTTCGCTTTTTCAAGAAACTTTCGATCTGCTCAGACCGCCAGATTTTCTGAATCGCTGATCCCACCAAGGACTGCCCTGTCGTTTGCCTAGCGCTACCCTCCTAGTGAGGTACTAGAATTTTTAGGTTACCTGACCGCCATGTACCATTTGAAGCTAAGACCCGTGGCCAAAAGCTTATTCTAAACTGTAAACTTGGTAAATTATCACAATGCGCGGGAAAAGTATAAGCTACGTATTAAAGTCTTGCTTTCTAATGTAAGCCTTATTCTTAAATATATATATGTATTAATTGCAAATGCATGTGCTTCTCTGGCAACAGCATTGGAAAATACAATTAGCAGACCGAACCGTGCACTAGATCAGGTTTATAGGAGAAGAAAAATGGGGTCGTAACGGTACTGGACCCTACGCCAACTAGTGACCATGCCCCAGCATTACTTGTCGCTGGCCTCCCAAAGAGTATTAATAAAAGATCTCAAGCGGGCGAGCTGACACGCGGTCATTAGGTAAATACTATCATTCATGAGCTCATCGTGCTCCTGTCCATATGTCGAGAGGCATGGAAGAAAAGCTTGCGACTGAGAATGTTTGCGTCAAACAGATTCGCTAGTGTGAGCTGCCCGTCATGTAGGAGTAAAGCGCTCTGTGATAGATCCATTTACTCAGCATGCCTATAACGAGGGAAATAGAATATGTTGATATTGTGTATCGAATATGCACATTACGCTGTGACTCGGTTGCACGGGGTTTAACTAAACGGCCCGATTTATTTGATTTCGTGGTTCATGTCTTGTTCTGCCGTGTTTGAATCTCCCTTATTTACTGAGCCGCGTCTTATACGAGGATGTCTTATTTTCTTCCCTTAATAAAGACTCAAACCCTCACGGGCTACTCAGAGATTGCACTATTTAAGTAAGGCATCATCCCAAACTTTCTAATTACTATACAACTTCGCCTACTCTCTTACTTTCCAAAGCCGTTCTCATTATTTCAGAGGATCTCCTCACTTTAAACTTGCAAGTTAGTACAAATACCTCCTTGATCCTCCGATCTCAGAAGCTAACATCACTTCAGCAATGAAATTCTCCGCAGCAGCATTTACCCTGTTTCTTGGCGTTTCACTTGCCAACAACACTGTCCCGATATCTGAAGATGAAGAAATCCGATGCCTGCAGGGGTCTTCCAATAATGGGTATTGCTGCTCCTATGCAGATTGTGGATTCTGTGGATTCTACGAGCGTTGTTGCTACAAACGCTCTGGAGATGCCACCGATGAGGGACATTGTAAATGTGGAGTAAACAGCTTTCCACAAGGCACTTGCTTTTAAGCTCCCAGCAACTGGAGACAACTGGATCATTGGGGTAGTTAGATTAAACGGTTGGAATAAGTGGACTTTGAACTCGTACTTGCTCCTATTTCTCTCCTATCCAGTCCGAACTCACAGACAATAGACACCTCAGTAAACCGAAAAGAACTTCTCATCCTATATAAGAGTAATTGACTGAGCTCGATCCTTTTCTCTCCCTTTGGTCTCTATTCTCAATGCTTTTCCAGAAGTTCTAAAGTTCCCGACTCTCTGATATTCTTCCTTTCCCTTGATCCTTTCAACAACCAACCCCAAGAATGGGAGATTGTCATCTCTTAAGCCTGATAGCTCTATAAGAATCAGAGCAAAAAACTCCCTCCCTTGAATATTCTCCGGTATTCCGCCTGCTTCCTTGAAAAGGTCTTCAGAGAACTCAATAGAGTCGAAGCAGCACATTGTTCGTACAGTCTGAGCGTTTTCCACCCGCAGTTCAAATTCAACCGGCTGCGTTGATTCTCCTCGAACCGGACACAGACGTTCCATCGGCGCACAGATCTCGATCTTTCCTTCCAGGACCTCGCCATAGGGATTTGCGCCTTTGAGCGTAACTTCAACATCTATGATCGTCGCCAATATGTTATGGGCAAGTGGAAAGCCCAATGAAATATACCCATCTACGGATGCCCATGACCAAGAAGGAGCCCTGTACTCTCTCACGCGTCTGCGCCCGTGTTTCAAACCTTGCCAGCACAGCCCCGCCACGAGGTCAGATCGCCAAAGCCCAGCTAGGTACTGGTCACCCAACCGTTCCGCAAAGATGCTGGCAAGGCCTGATATAGCAGGAAGTTTGTCCGATGGTACTGAGAGATGTCGTTGTCCATACAGCTGAACCAGTCTATACCACGACTTCAATAACGCGTCTTTGTAAATGGAATGCTCGCTTTCATGATCAATCGCTGCAGCATCTCTTTCGCTCCCCTTTTGATGTATAGTGTCGAATCTAGCTTGTAAGAACAAGCCGTCCTCTCCGCGAAATGCTTCGTTGCATTCGAATAGCATTTGCCGACTGCTGTAGTGGAGAGTTCTATGAGATAAAACACGCTCCTGTAAAGTCCAACCGCGTCTGGAGAGAGGTTCTTTAGGCAAAGTTATATAGTCCACAAATTGGGGAAAGGTTGGACGATTGTCTTTCATCAAGCACCCGGTGCTGAAACTCTCTTCTTGGAGAGGAAGGCTGAAGGCCAAAGCTTGACCTTGGAGATTCCCAAACACGAGATCAATCTGAACGTATTTTCTCGCTGGTATCTCGTTAAACAAACCTTCATGGCTATCCTTGCCATGTGATGCTGCGATAGTTAGATATGAGTTAGCATAGACTGAAAGCATCTTGGCTGATTCTCGTTCCCAGTCTTCCTTATCGCCCTGGCATATACAAATACTGTCTATCCACAGATATCTCACCCCAAGCATTTGGGTAATCTGAATGGCATCTTGATGCGTTTTTGGCAGACTAGCTACCAGGATACCATCCTTTCGCTCTTGAAGCGTAGACCTAGTAGTAGTAAATTGCGGCATTTCCCCCCAACAATAGCTTTTCACTATGTATCAGCATAATTTCTCGATAGGCTTTCAGATCATGGACTCAGATACCTCAAGGCCACATATCGTCCCGCATCGTATTTCTGTGTTTCGTGGAGCTTAACATAAGGACAGTTGAAGCCCTCGCCAACATCGATAACACGGGTTGGCAAGAAAGCCTGTGTTGGACAGCAGTGAGAGTGACTATCACAGTCTTTCAACCAGTTGCGCACTCTTCCGAGTGCTGTAGGTGTTCCACTTTGTCTTTCAACCGGGCGACCGCTAATAGCTCCCTCCAGTGGGTCACCTAATGATATCAATGCCGTCCCTTTGGTTGTATTGGGTAACCCTACCATCCTCAACGCAGAGACCGATGGCCGCAACCAGTCTTGCCTCACGTGTTCTTACTTCATCCTTGAATCCCAGTTCATCCGTGAATGTCATAACCCAAAATCCATCTCTCCCAGAGGCAGGCTTAATAAGCCAGAACTCCCAGAGCGGCCATGCATACTCATATGCTCTATTCAGTTCCCAACCCGGCTTGAGCTTCTCAAGTTCTGCTTGGCACAAAAGCACCTGCTCTAGAATAAGATTGCAGAGAGGGCACTGCAATTCTGATGCGGATCTCTGTAGAGCATCGAGGCTTTGGTAATGCAAAAATCCTTTGTCCTCTGGAGGCCAGCCACGGAAGTGTTGGATATAAGGATTCCCGGTCATATATCCATCTTTAATATCTCGTGGAACCGTAGGGAGTTTATCAAAGGGGATTGTCCTGCAAAGACTGCATAGTGTCATATTCGCGCACAGAGACGTGATCGTAGCAAGAGGAGAACAATTTGCCGATTGAATGCTGAAAAAGAAAGTCATACGAGAAAAAGCAACTTGTGAGGGGTAGAGGAGGATGACCTGCTTATCTTGGCTTTTCAACCACCCCCCGCCAACACACTGCCAATCACAATCGGGGGCCATCACAGCCTGACAGTCAGCCCCCAGAATAGGATAAACGCATGGCCGGGTCATCGGAAATCCGGCGGTCTAGTGGAGCATTTTTGTCGAGGGTCGCAAATTCCTGGATTTAATGTAGCCTGTCTAGACTGAATCGTGGCTGGTTCAGAATGTATTATAACACATGAATAAGCTCACCGGGTCTGGGAGCCAAAGACTCGCAAACCAGCAAGCTAGTTTCAACCTTAGCGATTAGGCTTCTATTATCATAGCTACCTGGTAAGCCTCGCTAGAAGTCAATAATATATCTTATCAATGCAGTATCACAGCTTAAATCCCGGTTCGAGTTCCCAGTCATAAAGAAACCTAACGTCAACAGCATCACCCAAGAGGCCGGTCACCCCGACTCTCACTTCCTCGTTTGGCACCAGATCGATGAAGTTATTGTCAAAGACCAGATTCTTGGCGTCACTGTCGGATGCACTCAACACAACCCCTTTGGCCGGTGCATTGGCTCTTACAACGACTGCTGATCCACCATCCACTACTTCCGTAGTGACCTCGAGATCAGAAGACATGTGCACATACTTGAGAGGCTCTGGCCAGCTCACCCATCTGGCGAGTTGTTCTCCAGATGAGACGTCTCGTATGTATGCAACCAAGACCGTTTCATCTGGATTTGGAATATCCAGCCCAGCCAGAAGCTCAGTTGAACGGTTCCCTTTGAGAACATGTTCCTCTAACGCGACCGCCCCTTGCCATTGCACTGACTTTCCGCTTTGGATATCAAATGCCTTGACCTCCAGAGTGACTTTAATCTCATGCAAATGTCCATTGACAGCCCAAACGTCAACCTTGTGCTTCTTATCCAGATAGCCAGTGGTGATATAAGGTGGCTTCTCCGTGATGACGCGTTCCATTCCAACAACTACCTTGTCCAGTGCTCGCTTAGTGATGTAGTATGCAGGTTTGGGATTCATGTCGACATCAACCAGGGCCCAACTGATACCAGGCCAGATATCGTTTAGCTGCCAGACCAAGACTCCGCCGCAATTCTCCTCCCCAGGTCCTCGGAACTCACGTCGCCAACAGTTATAAGCATACGCCATTGCTTCAGCTTGGAGAAACTGTGTACAGTACACAAAGTCTTTGAGGGGATTCATGCGGAAGCGATAGTTCTCGCCCATGTACATTGGGTACCGTCTTTGATGACCAGGGCCTTTATCGTGGACGTCGAAGGTCCTCGACTGTGCATGGCGCTCCTGGGGAGACGTTATAGCTCGATGGAGAGTCTGGAGACTGGGAGCTGACTCGAAGCCAAACTCCGAGATGAAGCGAGACATGTAGGCTTTGTAGTCTTGGTATGGTGACATCTTACCATGCCAGACATCCCAGCAGTGCGTGTCACCAACCGTTGTGTCGTTGGAGTAGCTTCCACCATAAGGAGAACTAATCCAATACGGGACATCAGTTCCTGATGCTTTGATGACGGAGGGGAGAGTGCGTTCGTAGATCTCGCGTGCTGGAAATGTGGTCTTGTCCCATGGACCAGTAGTGTCACTGTAGTCAACCTCCCAGCACCGATCTCCGTCTGCGCACATGTAATCCTCATTGTTTCCGCACCACAAGACAAGAGAGGGATGATAACCGACACGCTGTATTTGTTGCTCCGCTTCGATTTTAACATTTGTCACGAAGTCTGGCGAGGCTGGGTAGTTTCCACATGCATATAAGAAGTCTTGCCAGACCATGATGCCTTCGCGGTCGCATATATCATAGAAGTCGTCGCTCTCAACAATCCCGCCGCCCCAGACACGAATCATGGACTGGTTTCCTGCTTTAGCAAGAGTGATCCATTTCTCGTAGATACTCTTCGACACTCGCGGTAGCATGAAGTCCGCGGGGATCCAACAAGAGCCTCCGCTGAAGAGCCGAATGTTGTTGACTTCAAAGATGAATGAAGTGCCTGGCTGGTCTTTGAGTGGGTGCTGTAGTAGACGCAATCTTCTGATGCCCAACTTTCTGTTCACAGTATGATTGGGAATGCTGACTTGAAGGAGATAGAGGCTCTGTTCTCCATACAAGAACGGGTACCATAGCTTTGGTTTGTTGAGTTTGATCGTGAAGGATAGGGCTCCCTTCGTCGATTTCGATGCTTTATCATCAACTACGATGGCCCTTGTTTCAACGTCCAGTAACTGAACCTTAACCTCATTGATACTCTCATGACCCTCCAATTGGGCTTCGACTTTGATGTCCACAGAAGAGAGATCTGAGGCAACATTCTGTGTGACCCTGAGATCAATGATGCGCGACTCATAGACCTCCAAGTATATGGGCTTCCAAGGACCACTAGTGTTGACGGCCGGTCCCCAGTCCCAACCCCAATGATATTGAGCTTTCCTTACGAAGAGCCTCTCAGAGCCACCAAAGCTGACACCTCTTCCAACCTTGGTAGTCTTGTATCCAATACGCTCGCGTTCAGAACGACCATATGCTGGAGCAGCTCTGAACCGGAGCTCAAGAACAGATGGTTTCTCTCTGCCCCGCAGCATGTCGGTGACATCGATACGATGAGACCTATGCATATTATTGCTGAACAAGATATGCGAATCATTCAGATACACGTCAACCACAGTATCAAGGCCCTCAATGACAAGTTCTGCCTTTTCGTTCGACTTTAGATCGAGCGAGGAAATCTCCTCGGTACGATACGTCCAGTCGGCATCATTGACCCAAAGACACTTTAGTTCATTGATGTCGATGTAGGGATCGGGGATCAACTCATGATGCAAAAGATCAATATGAGCGACAGTTGGAAACTGGGCGACGGGTAGGAAGGACGAAGCAGCGCCATCGTTGAGAGAACTGGCTTGCTTGAATTTCCAACCTTTATCCAGGTGGATTTGACGCAACATGATTACTGCGGAAGAAAATATATTTGGGGAGAGTAGGGAGTGAAGATTTCTCAATGCTTTGAAAGGTGAACCCTCTGAAGAACGTCGGACAGTCGATGCGGGGAACCTAGACCTTATATCCTGACTATGGGGGTTACACCGAGAGTGGATTAACTAACCAGTCGGGGATTTATCCGTCAAACATGATTGATGATCAGACGTGGGCGGTCTTTACATTGGTAGGTGAAGTACCCATATCTCCACCAACGGCTACTACGGCGGTAATATGTAGATCCGTCCTAGCTGCAGTACAACGGATGACTGTAAATTCTGCTGTGAGAACTGCCAAGACTGGCTGGGTTCAATTGCATATAGTTATGGATTTGCTCAAAGACATTTTAACTCATATTAATAGACTAATATAACACAATTAAAAAGGAGGATCCTCCGAGCCCCGTCATAATTGTTCAGGAGCCAGCACGTGTAAACCTAAGCCTTTACCTTTTCCTTCTCGCTGGTAATAGACAATGTCTTGGTATCACTCGATGCCTCGATAGCAACCTCATCATCAAAGAGAGCTGAAATCTCCTCTCAAGTCATGCCCTTAGTCTCAGGGAAGAAGAGGGCGAAGATGATGGCACAAATAATCGTGAAAGCCATCATGATCAAATAAAACCTCCAGCCAATTGTCTGAAATGCAGTTGGTGCAGCCTCGAGAAGAGTAAGAGAGCCAACGAAGAGACCGGCGCAGGATATCGCAAATCCTTTCCCTCGAAGATGAGTGGGCCAGATCTCAGAGCCATATACATAAGTCGAGGCATCCATACAAGTGGCATAGAAAGTGAGGTGCAGATATAAGAAGAAGACACCTGCCGAATTGCCACCCTTATTTGTCGTGCCCCCGTAGAGTGCGACCATGACGCTTACACCAAGGAGGGAAATAGCACAGCCAATAAGACCGGTCACCATCAACCACTTTCGTCCGACGTAGTCAAGGAGAACGGCATTGATGGCATTGCAGACAAGTCCTTCGGTGAGCCATCCAGCCGAGAGTGCGAGACTAGCAGAAGCGCCATGTCCGAGAGCTGCGTACAGCGAAGGTCCATAGTTGTTGATGACAGTCGTTCCTGTAAGTTGGCCAGCCAGAAGAGTCGTGAACCCAATCAAGGCCCGTTTCCGGTAATGAGGGACAGTGAAGAGGGAAGCCCAAGACGACGGCAGATGACGCTCAAGTTCTACCTGAGCGCGGATCTGGGCGAACTCGGCCTTGGCTGCATGGTTGTCGGGATCGCTTGAGTCTGCGTAGATGCGCTGCAAAACAGCCTCAGCTCTTTCATGCTGATCGTTGTCGATAAGCCATCGTGGAGACTCCGGAATGAAGTAAACACCGCATGCCAGAATGAGCGGAGGCAAGCACTGTATGGCCAGAGGGGGACGCCACTGAGCCCCGTCCGCATTGACGAAGAAGAAGCCAAACCCGACCCAAGCGGACGATGAGTACCCCACCAAGATTGAGACCCCGTGAAGACCAACGAGGAGGCCACGAGCATGAGGAGGCGCAACTTCACTCTGCCAAAGTGGTACAAGCATGACGAGTCCACCAATAGCCAGACCTGTAAGAAATCTTGCCACGAGATACATTGCCAAGCGGACAGAAGCAGCTTGAAGACCGCCGCCAATAATGGCGAGTATACTGGCCAAGAACATGGCCTTGCATCGACCGAACTTATCTGCGACAGCCCCAAAGGTCAATGTGCCGATGAGGCCACCGCCCTGGAAGAGACCATTGATTGCACCGATGAGCGCAGCTGCATTGTTGGCTGTATCGAGACCGAAGTAATGAAGAAAGGATGGTTGGCCGAGGGTTGATCCTATGATGGCAGAACAGTATCCATATGTAATACTCCCAAAAGTCGCAAAGGCGATGATCTGTAGACAGGGCGATTAGATGGT